AGGCAATGGGGAGACACATATTAAAACCTGAAAGAAAAAAACTGCCAACTAAGAATCCTTTATTCAGCAAAGCTATCAATCAAATACGACGGTGTAATCAAAACATTCCAGGATAAACAGAAGCTAAGGGATTTTGCCAAAGCCAACCCTGCGCTACAAAACATCCTAAAGGGAGTTCTGTGGACTGAGAACCAACAAGAACAGATAACAAGAGATTGACATACATGGCATTAACTCCCAGAACTAAATCAACAGAAAGAAGAGTCAAGAACAGAACAAAACAAAGGAAATCAAAAGGATAATAACAGAATACTATGAAAAGTTGTACTCCAACAAACTTGAAAACTTACAAGAGATGGATACATTTTTAGAAAAACATGACCTACCTAAACTTACATACAGTGAAGTAGAATACCTGAAGAAAACCATAACAAAAGAAGAAATTGATCAGGTCATCAAAAGACTCCCAATCAAAAAAAGTCCAGGCCCAGACGGCTTCATTAGTGAGTTCTACCAAACATTCAGGGAAGAGCCGTCACCAATTCTACTCAAATTATTCCAGAAGAGAGAGGAGGATGGAAAACTTCCTAATACTTATTATTATTTTTTTTAATGCTTTATTGTGAATTATGTGATAGTTCACATGGGAGAACATTAGTTTTACATTCATCCTATTGTATATCAATTCATTGCTGTGGTTACAATCCCGTCCATGCATCATCAACCAACCAAAGGGTATACACTACAAGCCTGCCCCCCCGGTTGTCAGCACACAGCCCCTCTCTCTGTGTCTAAAGTCCCCAACTGCTCCATCTCAGCATCACTGCTTCTCTGGGTAGGGTCATGCTTTCCACTCTTCTCCCTTGATGGTCCCATGGACCTCCGCTCCTAGGGTGAAAAGTTAATCACTCCCCTCCTTGCTACAAAACGTTTACCTTTACATTTCCAACCCTCACAAGCAGTCCTGATAATAATCACTATTGTATCACAAGAGACCCATCCACATTTTATCAGCCCTGCCTAGGCAGATTGTATACTACTCAGTAGAGATTCTACCTTCATTCATGCCCCCTGAATCTAGGTTCCCTCTTGAAAGCTTATAAGCCAGTCACTTCTTGCCTTTGTAGCCCCCCCCCCCCCCAAATTTGGGTAGCCAATGTCCAAGTTACCCATCCCTGTCTATTCTGTGTATGGAGGGGTGGGAATGATACTTGGTATAAGGATTTGTTCCCTCTTTTGAGCTACTGCATCCATAGGTGTAGGTCAAGTTCATCAAATTGTATCATATTATTCTTTTTTACCTCTTCTTTCTTCTTCTGGTTGAGCTCTGATCATCCAGTCATTGAAGCCAGGTCAAATGGGTATTATCTAAACGTGTGGGTATTCTTGCGCATATGCCCTCTCTTCTTCTCAGCTGGATGCTTCACTCTCCACTCTAGTCCTCTGTGGCTATGTCACTGACTCTGGGCGGAAGAGTCCCCCGGTTTTGCCACACTGCTGGCCAACCAGGTATCCACCCGGGTTCACAGAAGTCTATTGAATGTTGTAGGGCTTAGCTCGCAGCTTCATTGCGGTTTTTCCCTCACTTCCCCTTATCGGTGACGAGCGTGGTCACCAATCAGAGCGTGTATTACCATTGAGTCTTAGTCTTGGAAGGAGGTTTACACTGAGGGGACCCAACCACTTGCCTTGATGTCTCCAGGGCAAGCAATTTGCTTGTTCTTGTAGTAACAGTCGGTCTGCCTATGGGATACAGGGATTGAGACATGGTTGGAATAGGGAAAACAGGAGAAATAATGTTAAAATGCTTGGCTGTCTTATGAATCTTGGTTTCCCTGGCATAACATTATAAAGTAGACAGTTGAGGGGGAGAGGAAGGAATAGCCAGAAATATCACCATAGAAAGCTTGTAAGTCTGTCTTCTGCCTATAACTGATTGGAATACCTAAAATGGACCTAGAACTTGCCCTGTGAAAGAGGCTTCCTGAGGAGCCTCTGCATTACATAAGACCGTATGTGAAATCCTGAACCCCATCCAGAATATTATGAGGTGGGAAATTTCCACTTGTAAGGACAAGCAGACCAGCTTGGAGTGGCTAGAACAGAAGATACTTCTTGAAAGAAAGACTGACAGGAAAAATACAAAACAATATAGGCAGTCCGACTAATTACTACAAGAACAAGCAAGTTGCTTGCCCAGGAGACATCAAGGCAAGTGGTTGGGTCCCCTCAGGGCAAACCCTCTTCCAAGACTAAGACTCAATGGGAATACATGCTCAGATTGGTGACCACTTTCATCACAGATAAGGGGAAGTGAGGGAAAAACAGCAATGAAGCTGCGAGCTAAGCCCTACAACATTCAATAGACTCCTGTGCACCCGGGTGGAGACCTGGTCGGCCAGCAGTGTGGCAAGACCTGGTGACTCTTTGGCTCAGTCAGTGACATAGCCACAGAGGCCTAGACTGGAGAGTGAAGCGTCCAGCTGATGAGGGCATATGCACAAGTACACCCACACTTAGAAGTACCCACTTGACCTGGCTTCAATGACTGAATAATCAGAGCTCAACTAGAAGAAGAAAAAGAATAATCTGATACAATTTGATGAACTAGACCTACACCTATGGATGAAGTAGCTCAAGAGGGAACAAATATTTACAGCGAGGATCATTCCCACTCCCTCCACAGAGTAGACAGGGATGAGCAACTTGGACATTGTTGTTAAGTGCCATCGAGTCGAATCCAACCCATAGCGACCCTGTATAGGGTTTTTGAGGAGCAGCTGGTGAACTTGAACCACCAACTTTGCAGTTCAAATGGCTTTGCAGTCAGGCACATTAACCCACAGTGCCACACAGGACTCCAACTTGGACACTGGCTACCCAAAATGGGTTGGGCGGGGGCTAACAAAAGAAAAGAATTGACTGGCTTACAAGCTTTCAAGAAGGAGCTAGATCCAGAGGGCACGGAAGAAGGTAGAATCTCCATAGTTGTATCCAGTCTGTCCAGCCAGGGCTGATGAAAGGAGATGCAGATAGGTCTCTTGTGATACAATAGTGAATAATTGTTATCAGGACTGATTGTGAGGATTGGAAATGAGACGTTTTGTAGCAAAAGGAAGGGAGTAGTTGACTTCGCAGCCAGGAGTGGAGGTCCCTGGGACCATCAAGGGAGAAGAGCAGAGAGCGGGACCCTATCCAGAGAATCAGATGCCAGAGAGGAGGCAGAGATGATGACATGGAACATTAGCCCACAGCGCCACACCAGGACTCCATGATTAGACTAACCACCTGCAATATGCAGATGTTACAACCTTGCTTGCTGAAAGCAAAGATGACTTAAGATATTTACTGATGGAGATCAGAGACTATATACCCTACAGTATGGATTGCACCTCAAATTAAACAGAGATCCTCACAACTGGACTAATAAATATGATAAATGGAAAACAGATTGAAGTTGTCAAAGACTTCACTTTGCTAGGATCCACAATCAACACTCATGTAAGCAGCAGTCAAGAAATCAAACAACATATTGCATTAGGCAAACCTGCTGCACAAGACCTCTTCTAAGTAAGTGTTCAAGAGCAAAGATACCAGTTTAAGGAGTAAGAGTCACTTGGTCCAAGCCATAGTATTTTCAATCATCTCATACACATGTGAAAGTTGGACAATGAATAAGGTAGACCGCAGGAGAATTGATGCATTTGTATTATGATGTTGGAGAAGAATATTAAAAGTACCATGGATTGCAGGAGAATTGATGCATTTGTATTATGATGTTGGAGAAGAATATTAAAAGTACCATGGATTTCCTGAAAAACAAACAAATTAGTGTTGGGAAAAGTACAGCCAGAGTACTCATAGAAGCTAGGATGGCAAGACAGTCATCTCTCATACTCTGAACATATCATCAGAAGGGACCAAACCCTGGAGAAAAACATCCTATCTGGAACCTCAACAGGAGTTGGAGTTGGCACAGTGGCAGCAGCAATGGGCTCAAGTATAACAATTGTGAGCATGGCGTATTTTGTTTTGTTGTGCATAGGGTTGCTATGAGTTGGAACCAGATTGGCTGCACCTAATAACAGCTGCTCCTCGGAAACCCTATAAAGGGTTTCTATGGGTCAGAACCGACTTGACAGCACTAACAACAACAACTTTATTATTTGCTATTCCATAATAATTATCTGTCTCACCACTAGAATGTTATACTCAGTACACTCTGAGTAAGGCAGCTTGTATAATATGTAATACACTTTAGGAAAAATTCCAAGAAAAAGAATTAAAAATCTCCTTTCTCTCTCAGAGTGGCTATAGATTTGAGGTTTTAGCAGTTCAATTCACAGGGTGTTAATGTAGATAGCTGACTTTATTTAGAATGAACTTGATCCTAAGATACTCTAAACAAGCACAACAAATGGATTCATTTCAGTTCTTGATGATACCTACAGCCTCAAAAGCCTATTAAAAGCAAAGGCTTTATCAGAGAGGCGAAAAAACAGATCGCACCAGTTTCCATATATAAACTTTATTTCATTTGACATCATACAAAATTTTAAACTTAAAGAAGAAAATAAAAATATGCACCTTTTACAAGTCAAAGAAAAGCAAAAGTTTTAGCCTTTGAATTGATCTGCAAAAAACAAATACATTAGAGGTACAAACTGCTACAGCAGGTCTAAAGAGTTGTACACAGTCCTTTTGAAAAAGTTAAAACTGGTTTCAAGATTACTTTTTATATTTAAGTTTACAGGCACTGAAAAATTTACAAATATTTACATAAATCAAAAGCAACCTTAATAAGCATTGTAGACTTGGACTCTTGGTGTGGTGCTGTGGATCAGCACTTGGACTATGAAGCACAAGGTTGGAGGTTCAAATCCACCAGCTGCTCCTCAGAAACCCTATATAGGGTTGCTATGAGTCAGAAATGACTCGGCGGCATTTAACAACAACAACTATTACTATGTAGAAAAGAAATACTAAAAAAAGATACCTTTACAAACATTAAGTTTTTATTTATATAATTTCCTTGCGTCTTATTTAAAATATTTTATAGTGGCTTACTGCCTAAAACTTCCTGCTGAGATTATAATCCTATAATTGTACACAGAAAAAAAATGTGATACTATAAATAGGATATATAATCTTAACTTTGATCTTTCAGTGTCTGTTGCTTCATGTCACAGGAAAACACAAAGTAAAGCAAAAGTGCATATTGCACTAGGCTGTTACAAAGCACAGGGGACTTGATCTTTTCAGACTGTGCATACTGAACTGATTCTTTAAAATAATTCACTAACTGCTGTACAATACAGAGTTAGCACTTATATTACTACAGTGCAAAATGTTTTATTGTTTCAACACAAAATTTAAAGTAATCTCAGGAGTAAGTACATCAAAAGCTTGTGAGGTAAGAATGAAATGCTAAGAGACACGCCCCAAGCTCAGTCTATCCCAGTGAGTCAAGTGAAGACTAAAGGCAACTGTCCAGTACTGCACGCTTCTGCAGCAATTTCACAGAAATGTGAACTGAAATAAAACATTTCTTTTTGCTTCAAGTAACTGAATAACTGACTTGAATCTTCACTTTACTACAACAGACTTGGACAACAAATGATCTATTGTAGGTTACATTTTAAGCATGTACAAATCAGACCCTTTCTAAAATTCCACCGATCTCTTCAATGATAGCATGTGGTACAACTAAATGAAGTTATACTGAAAACCTTTTATTTTGTCAGGTTAATTTCCTCCAAAATATTTTTCTCTGGTCTCCTGATAACTCATGTCCTAATATTACTAATCATAAATGTAAACATTTTCAAAAATACATTTTTAAATCAAAGAGTTTTATTAGGAAATGTCATAATAAAATATATAATCTTTATGTAAGTATGTCCTTTTAAAAATAAACATGAAAACAAGAGTTTAAAAGAAGCCATGATAGAGGTAAACAAAATGTATTGTGTTACTATAGTTCTTTATTTCGCAGAAGATTTTAAGAAACAAAGGCCAGTTATCTTTTCAGGATGACAGTTCTTAAAGGTAGTATACTGTTCAAATCTCTCTTGTTTTTCAATCTGTGCCATGACTGGAAAAGAAAGAAAATACATTCGTAATACTTAAAATACATACAGAACAAAAGACGGAAAGGAGAATGTTAGTAGGGGTCCCCTCTAGTGATAAAATGTTGGGTCTTAACAGGTTTTTCCATTAAACAATAATTATGAAGAAGAGAGATCTGTAACAAATTACTTTATGTATGCTATTAAAAAGAAGAGTAAACAGAATTTAAAAAGAAAGAAACTGGAATTCTTATTTACAGGCTAAAAATCTGGCTCACTACCTGCTAGATGTAGGTTTTTATACTTTGTTCTGATTTCAATTGTCCAACTAACTATAAGTATTGGCTTTACATCTAGACAATGCAAAATGAAAGCTCGCCCTTCAATAGTAACAGTAGTGTAGCAATGATATTCTGGAGTTCTCAAATTTAATCTGAGAAAAAAATATATACCCTCTTAGATGTTTATTTTAAAGGGAAAGTATTCTGCAGATCCAATTCTCTATTTTAGCTGACAAATTAAAAGTCTAGTGCAAGGAAAACTTGTAATATTTGCATTTTTCACTTTCACCACATAAAGCCTAACATGTATACATAAATAGGAGTTCTGATGTGGTGTTGTAAAGATAAGCACGAGACCACAAGGTTGGTAGTTCAAACTCACCAGCTACTCCTCAGAAACCCTATAAAATGTTGCTGAGTCAGAACTGACTCAGCAGCATTTAGTAACAATATGTCTATATAATGAAAAATACACCTTCAATATGCCTTTAAAAATAAAATAATGTGATCCCTTTATAATTCTCTGATCTTTTTATCCCATGAAGCTCTCCTTCCTACATTATCTCAGTGTATCATACTGTTTTATGGAATTCCCTGAGGGCAGACATCACTTTTAGCAAAATCATGGATGAATAAATTCTTACTGTGGACTAGAGACCTAAAAGGAATAAACTTCAGTTTGTAAATATATAATGTATATATGCACGCACACAGTTTGAAAATACAAATTAAGGTTAAGACAGCACTCTTGTTGCTGTAGTTGTTGTTAAGTGCCATCAAGTCAGTGTGACTAATAGTGACCCTGTGCAGACGTTCCAAGAAGCAGCTGGTACAAACTGCTGCCCTGACGGTCAGTACCCTACAGCACCACAGTAGGACTTTAAAACGGCACTTTCTGTTGTTCTTGTTATGTGCAATCGAGTAGGCACCGACTCATAGCGACCTTATGCACAGCAGAATGAAACAATGTCTGATCCCGGGCCAACCTCACTACTATTGCCACACTTCAGTCCATCTATGCTGTCACCTGCCAATCCATCTCAGTGGGGGTCTTCCTCTTTTTCTCTGACCCTCCATCTTACCAAACATGATATCCTTCTCCAGCGACTGTTCCCTCCTGACAATATGTCCAAATATGAGAGACGAAGTTTGGCCATCTTGGCTTCTAAGGAACACTCTCTGGCTGCACTTCTTCCAAAACAGATCTATTGGTTCTTTTGGCAGCCTATAGCACTTTCAGTATTCTCCTCCAACACCATAATTCAAAGACATCAGTTCTTCTACAGTCTTTCTTCTTCACTGTCCAGCTTTGGCATGCATATGGGGTTACTGAAAGTACCATGCATGGCTTGGGTCAGGCATACCTTAGTCCTCAAGCTGACATCTTTGCTCTTCAACACTTTAAAAAGGTCCTGTGCAGCAGATTTGCCTAATATAATACACTGTCTGATCTCTTGACTGCTGCTTCTGTGAGTGTTGATAGTTGATTCAAGAAGTCCTTGACAACTTCAATCTTTTCTCAGTTAATAAGAATGTTTACTGGTCCAGTGGTGAGGATTTTTGTTTTCTCCACAATGAGATGTAATCCATATCGAAGGCTGTGCTCTTTGATCTTCATCAGTAAATGTTTTAAGTACTCTTCACTTTCAGCAAGCAAAGTTGTATCATCTGCATATCACAGGTTGTTAATGAGTCTTCCTCCAATCCTGATGCCACGTTTTTCTTCAAAGAACCGAGCTTCTCAGATGATTTGCTCAGCATACAGGTTGAAATAGTATGGTGAAATAATACAACCTTGTCGCACACCTTTCTTAATTTTAAAACATTCAGTGTTACAATGCTCTGTTCGAACAACTGCTTCTTGGTCCAGGTACAGATTTCTCAAAAGTACAATTAAGTGTTTTCTGGAATACTCATACTTCACAATGTTGCCCATAATTTGTCATGATCCACACAATTGAAGGCCTTTGCATAGTCAATAAAGCACAGGTAAACATCTTTCTGATATTCTCTGCTTTCAGCCAAGATCCATTGGACATCAGCAATGATATCTCTTCGTTTAACGTCCTCTTCTGAATTCTGCTTGAACCTCTGGAAGTTCTTTGTCAATGTATGATTGTAGCCATTTCTGTATTACCTTTAGCAAAACTTTACTCGCTTGAGATATCAAAGAGATTGTCTGATGATTTCCGCATTCTGTTGGGTCACCTCTCTCTGGAATGGGCACAAATATGGATCTCTTCCAATCAGTTGGACAGATAGATAGTTGTCTTCCAAATTTCTTGGCAGAGATGAGTGCCTCCTGTGCCGCCTCACTTTCTTGAAAGATTTCACCTTGTATTCCATTCCATCAATTCCTGGTGCCTTGTTCTTTGCCAATTCCTTCAATGCACCTTAGACTTCCTCCCTGAGTATCACTGGCTCTTGATCATATGCTACCTCTTGAAACGGTTGAACATTAACCATTTCCTTTTGGTACAATGACTCTGTGTATTCCTTCCATCTTCTGCATCATTCAATAATTTGCCCAGAGAATCTTTCAATAACAAAAGTCGAGGCTTGAATTTTTCCTTCAGTTCCCCCAGCTTGAGAAATGCTGTCCGTGCTCTTCCTTTTTGGTTTTCTGATTCCAGATCTTTGGACATTTTATAATAATATTTGGCTTTATCTTCTCAAGCTGATCTTTGAAATTTTCTGTTCAGCTCTTGGACCTCTTCATTTCTTCCACTTGCATTAGCATCTCTACGCTGGACAGCAAGTTTCAGAGTCTCTTCTGACATCCATTTTGACCTTTACCTTCTTTCTTGTCTTCTTAATGACTTTCTGCTCTCTTCACCTAAGATGTTCTTGATATCATCCCACAACTCTTCTGGTCTTCGGTCTTTAGTGTTTAATGTATCAAATCTGTTCTTCAGATGATCTCTAAATTCAGGAGGGATAAATTCAAGATCGTATTTTGGTACTCGTGGTCTTGTTTTAATTTTCTTCAGCTTCAGTTTGAATTTGCATATCAGTAATTGATGGTCTGTTCCACAGTCTGCCCCTGGCCTTGTTTTCAGTGATGATATGATTCCTATGTGTTCCATGTGGCGAGGTCCATGTGTATAGTCATCTGTTATGCTGTCTAAGAAGGTATTTGATATAAACAAATCATTGGTTTTGCAGAAATCTACCATTTGTTCTTCAGCATCATTTCTATCACCAAGGCCATATTTTCCAACTACTGATCCTTCCTCTTTGCTCCCAACCTTTGCATTCCAATCACCAGTAATGAGCAATACATCTTGATTGCATGTTTGATCCATTTCAGATTGAAGAAGTTGGTAGAATTCTTCTATTTCATCCACACTGGCTTTAGTGGTTGGTGTATAAATTTGAATAATAGTGGTATTAACTGGGCTTCCCTGTAGGCGCATGGATATTATTATCCTATCACATACAGCGTTGTACCTCATGACTGATCTGGATATGTTCTTTTTGACAATGAATATGCAACACCGTTCCTTTTCAATTTGTCAAACCCGGCATAGTAAATCATGTTGTTGTCAAGATTCAAAACGGCCAATACCAGTCCATTTCAGCTCACTAATGCCTAAGATATTGCTGTTGATGCATTCCATTTCATTTTTGACAACTTCCAATTTTCCCAGATTCACACTTCGTACATTCCATGTTCCGATTTTCTATGGATGTTTACAGCTGTTTCTCTTCATTTTGAGTTGTGCCCCATCAGTAAATGAAGGTTTTGTGGGCTTTACTCCCACGAACTTAATTCCATTCGTGTCATCATGGTCAACTCTACTTTGAGGCTGCATCTCTTCCCCAGTCACATTCTGAGTGCCTTCCAACCTGAGGGGATCATTTTCTGGTAGCATCTCTTCCCCAGTCGCATTCTGAGTGCCTTCCAACCTGAGGGGCTCATTTTCTGACACCGTATCTGACAGTGTTTCTCTGCTATTCATAAGGTTTTCAGTGACTAAAGACTTCGATGTAATTCCTCACTTTCTTCCAGAAGAAAAAGCAAGGACTAAGAATTTCCTAAGTTCCCATTTTACCAAAAGAATGGTATTTATTAAGTTTTATTTACTCGTTTTTAGAGTCTGATTAAGCTAGCTATAAAAATGCTTATTCCCTTGAAAAGTGAAAGCTGTATGAATAAAAACAGAGCCAGATCTCGCTGAAGAAAGAGTATATATGAATTTAAGTAATAAATTCCCTACTGAGTTGCATTAATGACTCACAACATAGAAACCCGGACTGTTCTGTCCTATTGTATTTTCATTTAAAAATTTTTCACTTTTCATTTTTTAAGATTATCTGTCCATTAAGTTTTTACTTTTCTTTTTAAACACCTAACTAAAGTATTCCTACAGTTAATGTGATACACTGTGTACCTTTAAAAATTGATCCTTGATCATATCAAACTTCTGCTTTTCATGCACCGCTCTGGCTGTATTTGTTCCATCAAAAGGTTCTGCAATGTTAAATGCACATATAAAGAAAAAAACATTAATATGAAAACTCAAGTTTTCTTAGTAAGTTAAACTATAAGAAATTATTGATATTTGATTTACAAAAAAAAATTGCATACAGTTCACCCTAATAGCCTATATTGCTGTTGTTAAGTGCCACTGAGTCAGTTCCAACCCATAGCGACTCTGTTATCGGGTTTCCGAGGGGCAGCTAGTGGGTCTGAACTGCTGACCTTTTGGTCCAAATTGACCTTGTGATCCAGTGCATTATCCTACAGTGCCACAACAGAATTCATATACCCTATTAGATTTATGCACAGCATTTCAAGAGCTATGAAATGCTACTAAGGTGGATAGGATTAAGGTGAGAAAATGACTATAAAGGAAAAATTCACAGCATACATATGCTAAGTTTTAATAATAAAAGTGAATTACGATTTCTGAAAAATTACAGGGTTAATAAGGGCCTATACCCTTGTAGGAAAAGAAGTTAAAGAATAAATAATTATCAACAAAGAACTACATCCAAAAGAGATGGTCAATGTCAAATGTCAGACAAACAGAATGATACAGACCAGTGAAATTTATAAAAGATCACTCATATGTCAAGCAAATCAACACTAACCTTTGACAGTGAAAGCTCAATATTGGTAAGAATGTTAGACAAGTTGTTGTTGTGGTTCTGTGCCGTGAGTCGGTTCAGACTCATCGCGACCCTGGGAGCAGAAAGCCTCATCTTTCTCCCGCAGAACAGCTGGTAGTTTCAAACTGCCGACCATAAGATTAGCAGTCCAATTAGAGTTAATACGTAAGTGGATGATACAGGAGAAGATACTATCAGAACAGTAACTTACATGAGATATTTAACAGTGAGAGAAGAAAAACAGAAAAGCAAGGAAAAAAGATGACAACAAAGGAAGGTTTTGTTTTTTGTGTGTTTCTTGTATGTTTGTATGTGTGTGAGTCCCCAACATATCCACCTTCCACATCTCCATCTCCAGTCCACTCTCTCCACTCATACAATAAGGAGTTCATATAGAGAGACAGACAGGAAGAAACAAGAAGAAGTAACAGAGTAATAGTAAAAAAAAAAAAAGGATTATTAAAGGCATAAGGAGTGAGATGGGATGGCAGAAATAATGATAGCAATAGGTAAGAGTTACTGAAAGAGCTCTGGATTTCTAACTTCAAGATCAGAAGTTCTAATCTACCAGCAGCTTCTCAAGAGAAAGATGAGGCTTTCTGATTCCAAAAAGCTTTTTGTTGTTAAGTGCCATTGAGTCGGTTCCGACCCATAGCAACCCTGCACAGGATTTCCAAGGAGCAGTTAGTGAGCTTGAACTGCCAACCTTGCAGTTCAAACGGCTTTGCAGTCTGACGCATTAACCCACAGCACCACACCCGAACTTTACAGCCTCAGAAACCCTACACAGGATCACTAAGAGTCACAATCAACTCCACAGCACACAAACACCATCAATACCATTGAAGTTTTAGATTTTTGGCAAGGAAAAGAGAAAAAAAAGTACTTAAAAGAGCTAGTGTCAAGTGCAGAGAACTTCAATGATGAGAAGATCTATGCATGCCCAAGAGGTAAAAGACAACTGGCAAGAAAGACCAACGTTGCTGAAAAGATTAATAGTAACTGTGGAGAAACAATCTGAAAAAAATGTAAGTATAGAAAGCCTGTGTGAAAGGTTAACCTTTCCTTTGTCATATGATGCAAGCAGTTCCATATTTTAAAACACCACTTTTATTTACTTCTGTCTAGAAAAGCTACGTAAAAAAATAAACTTATTGCTTATTGTTACAGTACTGTTCTTTTTCATAGAATACAACACATGCCAAATTCTATCAGACATCACACACAGTACAACAGTCAGTATTTAATATTCAAGAGAACACAACTAAACTACTATACAACTACTGCAAAATTTATCAAACTATCAAAGCAGGAGATTTAATTTTATTATTCACAAACTTTAAAAGTTTTACTATTTTAAGGAGATGCAACATGTAATCCAAGATTAAAATTTTCTAAATCTGATTGTTTTCTATAAAACATTCTTAATCCTTTACTCTTTCACCTCAAGATTTACAATGGTCTTTCTTTAAACTGGCATCTGTAAGAACAAATTTAAATATTATCTCTTGCATCAGTTTTAAAATCATTTTCTAATGATTTAAAACAAAATGACTCAAAGATATATTCAACATGTAAATTACTTTTAGAGAACAGAGTATCTTCAAATCATTTAATTTTTTAAGGTAAAATCAAGTTATATTCACAAAAATTTAGCTGATAATATGCATCAAATTTTAAAGTGTAAAAGAACTAATTTTATTTTAATATAAGAACATTACTGAAGATTCTATCTTCTTCCATTTGCAAGTCATGAAATTAAGTTTCAATCAACCACATGCATGAGAGATACAGAGACTGCTCAAATCTTGTCAACTAGAAAGATTAAATGCCCAAACTCATGTTTTCTTTTTCTCACAACTGAAGAATTTCACATTATATAAAAAATTAAAGTAAAAACTTTTTAGAACCAAAAATGCTTTACATGTAGCTGAAATATAAGTGGAAAGAAATTACTCAAGGAATTCTCTCAGTACCATATTATGTTGGTAACTAAATGATAATACAGAAAGGTCTTGAAACAGCTACCTTCTATACAGATGAATTTATTTCTCCATTCAATACCAGGAGGCCTCGGAATGGCTTTGGCTTCATGAACTGAAATCATCTGACTGTCCCAGCTATGAGAGAGAGAAAGAAAAAAAGAAAAGTTAACTATTTCCATAATTTGCCCTTTTAGTACTTTTATTAGATCAGAATATGGCCTATCTGGATTTGAGCTAATATTGAAACTTTCCTCAAACCTCAGCACCACAACTCACTTCTTCTGTGTGCCGTTGAGTTGATTCTTTCTTACTCACTGCTGCCCTATGGGACACAGTACAGCTGCTCCATCACGTTTCCAACTGCAAGGCTGTCATCTCTTTGGAAACAGACTGTCACAACTTTCTCCCATAGATCACCTGGTGGTTTTGAACCGCCAAACTTTCAGTGAGGAGTCGAGAGCGTATTCATTGTGCCACCAGGACTTCTTGACCATAAGAGCATTTTTATCATTGGTCACCATGGGATGGAATAGACTCAACCCTATACAGGAACTCATGGTGTGGCACTGTAGGATCAGCACTGGACTGTGAACCACAGGTCAGCAGTTCAAACCCACCAGCCACTCCCTGGAAACCCTGTGACGGCACACAGTAGCTGTGAGTCAGAACCGACACAACAGCACTTAGCAACAACAATCTTTGTATCATGCTGCTCATTGTGCCTCATATATGAATGGAGACTCCATGCTGAGGCAGCATTTATATAGTCATTGTTCAGTTAATTGCTTAGTATATATACTTGGTGTACGATACACAGTAAATGAATGAAATAATACAAAAATATGAAAATGCAAGCAAGTCAAAATATAAAAACAAATGTTCACTGTTAATACCCTGGTAAGAGGTTTATATTTAAGAGAGAGGTAATCTTCGGTTGTCTTCTGATAATCATTAAGCACTTTTGTTTAAGTAGGTCTCTCTCCTTGTATGATTTTGGAGAAAATTTTGACACACTCCAATAGAAATAAGTAGATACTGTTACAGGAAACCGGAATCAATACTTAATGAAAATAAGATAAAATTGTCCAGTGTTTGTATACATGTAACCTTACACTGGAGTCCTGATGTGGCTCTGTAGGATAAGTACTGGAATGCTAACTGCAAGGCTAGTGGTTCAAATCCACCAGCACTCGTCAGAAACCCTATACTAGGAACCAATGCAATGGTACTCAATAACAACAACTACCTTATAATTCTGTTTTGTAAAGTTTGGTTTTTTTGTTTTAATTTTTATCTTTTTAATAATTGCACTATATGGTAAGCACTCGACCACAAAGTTGGTTTGAACTGCAAGGTTGGCAGTTCAAATTCACCAGCCACTCCTTGGAAACCCTATACAAGGTTGGGTCGGAACCGACTCAACAGCACTAAACAATAACAATAGTTACTCATAGGAGAAAGATAAGGCTTTCTGCTCCAGCCAAGATTTAAAGCCTTGGAACCAACTGCAAGGCACTTAACAAGCAGTAGTTACTACAAGGAGCGCTGATGGTGCTCAGCTGCTAGCCTAAAGGTTGACGGTTTGAATTTACCCAGCAGTTCTGCAGGGTACAACCTAGCAATCAGCTCTCATAAAAATTGGTCATTGTTAAGTATTGTGAAGTCAGTTCAGACTCACAGCGACCCTATATAGGGTTTCCAAGGCTATAAGTTTTTATGGAAGCAAAAAAAGTAAAAAGCGTCTTCTTTCTCCTGAGGAGTGGCTTATGGGCTTGAACTGCTAACCTTGTGGTACACAGTCCAGTGCTTAGCCTACAAAACCACCACTCTCCATTCATAAAGATTGTTGCTGTTGTTGTTAAGTGCCGTCAAGTCAGTTCCAACTCATGGCAACCCTGTATAGGGTTTATAAGGAGCAGTTGGTGAGCTTGAACCACCAACTTTGCAATTAAAACCAACCTCGTAGTCCAGCATATTAGCCAAGAGCACCACACCAAAACTCCATATTCATAAAGATTGTTGTGTTGTTGTTGTTAAGTGCCGTCAAGTCAGTTCTGACCTACAGTAACCCCGTACAGGGTTTCCGAGGAGCAGCTGGTGAGCTTGAACCACCGTCCGTGTGGGGCAGTTTTACTCAGTCATATGGGGTGACTAAGAGTTGAAAAAGACTAGATGGCACTCAACAATAGTTGTTGTTAAGTGCCATCAAGTCAGTTCAGACTCACAGTGACAGTTGGTGAGTTTCTACCTACCTTACAATTCAAGAGTCCTGATATGGCGCTGTGAGTTAATGCGCCAGACTGCAAAGCCATTTGAACTGCAAGGTCGGCAGTTCAAGCTCACTAGCTGCTCCTCAGAAACCCTATACAGGGTCACTATGGGTTGGAACAGACTCGACGGCACTTCACAACAACAACAACCTTACAATTCTAACTGACCTTGCGGTCCAGTGCTTGTCCTACAGCGCCACACAGTAATAGTTACTTCAAGTATTTTCTTTTTCTAAGAAACATTTTAAAACGTAAAACCACTCAACTTGCACACAAGAGAAAAATCAATCTCATAAAAAGTGAAAATATGAGGGGGCTTTCTAAAGGTACAAGGAAAAATTCCATTGTTTTTTAATTCCATTTTCTCAACAAACTTTTTGAAGCCCCTCATAGTTTCTCCAGCAGTATATAGCTTTCTTCACTATTACAGCAAGCAGAGAAAGACTATGGATAGGACCTTTTAACTCTTAACGCCCATCCTACTTTTCCTCAATTGTATCAGATGTTGTTGTCATTGTTGGGTGGCATGGAGTTGGTTCTGACTCATAGCCACCCTATGAACAACAGAAAGAAACACTGCCTGGTCATGCTCCATCTTTACAATTGTTGCTTGAGTCCAATTTATCAGATTGTTGGTGTTGTTAAGTGCTGTTGAATCGGTTCACACTCATAATGACCCTCCGTAGGGCTTCCGAGGAGCAGCTGGTGGATTTGAACTGCCGACCTTGTAGTTCGTAGTTCAGTGCTGGTCCTACAGTACTACACCAGGAGTCCAATTTATCAGAGAATCAAACAATATATAATCATGGGTTAAATATGGCATTTATTACAGGAAAACGGACTAAATGTTAAATACATAAGAAAAACTTGCAGCTTATGAAATCTGATAATCAGAGAGGATCCTGAAAGTATGATTTTGTTTTCTGATCAAGTGGTGATGGTGTGCTGTGGAGTTGGTTCCGACTCACAACAACCCTACCTAGGGTTTCCAAGGCTATGAATCTTTACAGGAGCAGAAAGCCTCATCTTTCTCCTGTGGAGCAACAGGAAGATTCAAACTGCTGACCCTGTGGTTATCAGCCAGCTCATGATTCCCTACGCTACCAGAGCTCAAGTGTAGATTTGAATTACTAAAAATAATGATAGCCTTAATTCCTTTAAAAATTATCAGAATGTACGCTTTAAAAAAAAAAAAAGACTTTTGAATGGCAGTGCTGGTTATGGCTAGTGCACTGAGTCAGTTTTGACTCACAGAGACCCCATGTATAACAGAACAAATAGGACACTGCCTGGTCCCGTGCCATCCTCAAAATAGTAGGTATGTTTGAGCCCATTATTGCAGCCACTGTGACAATCCATGTTGGTAAGGTCTTCCTCTTTATTTTGCTGACGCTTTCCTTTACCAATCATCATGTCCTTCTCCAGGGATTAGTCTTTCCTGATAATATGTCCAAGTACATGAAATGAAGCCTCGTCATCCTCACTTCTAAGGAATATTCTGGCTATACTTCCTCCAAGACAGATCTGTTTGTTCTTCTGGTAGTTATGTTATATTCAATAATCTTTGCCAATACCACAGGTCAAACGAATGATTTCTTCTGCCTTCCTTTTTCATTTATCAGATTTTGTACAGAGTAATATATTTTTAATTTCTCATGTGCTGTAGGTGCATTAGTATGGATTCCAAACAGAAAAGAAGCTCTTCTGCTCTACTGCACCAAGCATGTTTCCAGAACTTTCTAAAAATAACATCAGGGAAGAGTTACATAACTCATAAAAAAGAGGAAGCTTCCTGCTTCTCCAAAATTTACAGCCTTAGAAACCCTATATACGGTCACTATGCGTCTGAAACAACTCCCTGGATGTAAGAACAACAAAAAGAAATCAGTAAAACTACACTTTGTGCCACTTTACACCAGTGTAGGACAGCTAATGATTTATTATGGGCCTTCTAGCCGTATTGTTCCATTCTGTGATGTATTGTAAATCCTAGCCTCCTGGTGTGGCACTGTGAGTTAACATGGTGAACTGTAAAGCTGGTTTAAACCACAAGGTCGGTGGCTCAAGTTCACCAGCTGGCTCCTCAGAAACCCTATACAGGGTCACTATGGGTCGGAACTGACTCAACGGCACTTAACAACCACCACCATGCTTATGGTGTCCTGGTATAGCGCTATAGGATAAGCACTAGACTGCTAACCACAAGGCCAGTGGTTAAAACCCATCATTGCTCTTCAGAAACCCCATACAGGGTTGCTATGAGTCGGAACCAACTTGACAGCACTTAACAACAACAAAAAGGAGTAAGGATTAAGGTGGACCTAAGGAGTAAGGAGTACTGGTGTGGTGCTATAGTATAAGCACTGAATTGCTAACCACAGATTGGAGGTTCAAACCCACCAGCCACTCCTTGGAAACCCTATACAAGGGCCACTATGAGCTGGAACTGACTCTACAGCACTTAACAACACAGAGTAAGGATTAAGGTGGAACTAAGTTTTAAGCACTTGACCACAAGATTGCTTTGAACTGCAAGGCCAGCGGTTCAAACTGACCAGCTGCTCCTTGCAAACCCTATGCAGGGTTGCTATGACTCGGAACTGACTCCATGGGACTTTAACAACAACAACAACAAAAAAAGGATTAAGGATGCCCCCACCTTACTAGAAGGTCTGACTCAAGTTACCACCCTTAGTTTTCCTTGGGGGCATGATCTAAGACCATATTGTTGTTAGGTGCCATCCAGTGTCAGCGTCAACGCATAATGACCCTATGTTTATAACAGAACTTTGCTTTGGCAAAAAGTTCAGTCTCCTGCTCTGAATCTGGTATCTGGCTCATCATGTCTGATCACCAGTATATGGG